GGGGGGGGGGGAGGGGGAAGGGTGTATGGGTACCTCTGCTTCTTGGTATGAGAACATGTGTTTCAGGAGCACTATGCGGCGGCCTGATCCGTCGTCAGTGTCATCGCTCCAGCCAAGCAATCTATATACAGACAGACATAAGACATAGACACACACACCATCAACATGTGAAATGCGTGAAATGCGCTCTCACAGACACGGCACACCTGTTCTGTTCGTTCTTGACGGCCATGAATTTGGACCGGTCGATGCGCCGCTTCTTGAGCTGCATCTCGGGCGGCGGCGCCGCCTCGGTGGGCGGAGGCTCAAACTCAGCCTACACACACACACACACACATCCATCCATCCATGTGTGTGTGGGTGTGTGTGCTGACCTGCTTGACGCAGATGACGCAGTCCGGCCGTAGGTAGCTCTCGTGTAGGTACTTGACGGCGAGTCCGACGGACTCCTCCTTGACATAGGAGATGAGGGCGTCCCCCTTGGCGCGACCAGCGTCGTCATGGTAGATCTTGATCTTGGGCAACGCTGGTGGGTTAATTTGTTGGTTGGTGGAGATTGGCAAAGACAAACACGTGTTTTTGGGGGGGAGGGGGCTTGGGTGCCTAGCCTACATGTATCAGGGTCGAGTTTGAAGACGCCCGCCTTCTTGAAGGTCTCCTCCAGCTCCTATATGACAATCACATCACACAACAGGCATGGGCTGGGATGGACACAGTGTGTGTCCTTCCTGTCCATGAGGCCTTCGTTCCGCTCGAGCCTCACCTCCATGGTGACGTCTTCAGGCAGCCCGGACACATACACATTGGGGTTGCTCTGTCGCACCGTACACACATCGATGCGATGCACCATGCGGCAAGTGGACCGGCGCCTCTCTCTCTCCCTGTGTGTGTGTGTCTGTGTGTGTGTGTGTGTGTGTGTTGTGTGTACCTTAGCTTTCAGCCACAGCCCCTGCTGCTTCTTGAGCTTCTTCCTCTCCTGATACGCGCGCTTCTTGGCCTTACGCGCCTGCACATCCCCCACACAGGATGGATCCGTGTGTGGGGGGACATGTCACTGCACACGCACATCTGCCGACCTCTCACCTCTTTTTCAGGGTCATGGGGCTCCCCCTCCTTGTCCTTCTTATCGTCGCTTTCCGCCCCCTCCTCGCTCCCCCCCTCTCCCTCTCCCTCTTCGCGCTCGTCTGCTGCTTCAGGCATGGTCATGTCAGCCACCGAGTAGCTCGCGGCCGTGGCCTTCTTGGCAGCAGCAGTGGCAGCAGCAGCGGCACTGGTGTCCTGTGGTGCGTCGGTGCTGGGGGCGGTGTTATTGTTGGTGGCGGTGTTGTCGTTGGTTTGGGCCCCTCCTGCTGCTGCTGCAGTGATCTGGCCTGCTTCGTCGGCCAGCTGCTGCAGCTCGTAGAGGGCCTCGTACTCCTGAACGTATGTATGGATGTGTGTGACAAACACAGAGGGAAGAGGTGTGTGCTGCGGGTGCTGTGGTGTGTCTGTTCTGTGAGGGGGTGTGACCGACCTTGAATGTCCTCCACGTCTTGTCAGCAGGGTCCAACACATAGCTCTCACCTGAACCAACACACATACACACACACACAGATGCATTCCTGTCTGCCTGCTGGTGCAGCCCCCCCCTCCCTCCCTCCCTCTCTAGATACCTTCGGGATCAGTGTATTTCTGCGAGGCGTCCACCTCGGTGAGCGGCACACGCCTGGCCCCCGTGTTGGCAGCCACTGGTGGTGTAATGAGCGGCCCCTGGCCCTTCTTCTTCTGCACCAGTGTGGTCAGCAGAGCCTCGTCAAGCTCACCTTCATCGTCCTCCTGAGCTGCACAGACACACGCACAGACAGACAGACAGATAGACAGACAGACAGACAGGTAGAGTGTGTGTTTGTGTGGCTATGATACCGACCGAGGTGTGGTTTGATTTCCTCGCACTCCGCGATTGGGATCCAGCTGCTCATGCCCTGACGCCACACACTCGTCAGGCCATCGATGGTGTTCCTGACCACAGACACACCAAACGCAGCGAACCATCTTTGTCCATCTCACTGTCTGTCTGTTGATTTGATGGGATCTGGATCTGGCTGTTCCATGATTCCATGACTCACTCAACGTAGAGGTGTTTGATCTGCTCGACTGACAGCGGTCCGGTGAGGGTGCCGTCCGTCGCTGACTGAAAGTACCACACCGCCGCTGTGCCTGTGGTGTCACCATTGGCCACATCGGCAGCAGCTGCAGATGCCGTCGCTGCTGCAGCTGGTGATGGTGGTGGTGGGCTGGTCTCTGATGCCATGGACATCGCCCCTCCGCCTTGGTGCGAGCTTAGAAGGCAGATCTGCGTTTGCAAGAGGCTGGCGTCAGTGGTCACTATGGCGTTCCGGTACAGGCGTGAAGGCCTCTACACCAAATCACGATGCCATTTGGACCAGACGGGCATGTAAGCACACCAAAGGGCAGGCAGCCAGATCTGATGTGTGTGCGACACGTGTGTCTGTATGTGTGTGTGTGTGTGTGTGTGTGTGCAGGCGTCCGTATGTTGACGAGTTTCGGTGGCGCGTGACGGACTGGCACTACCGGTTCTGGATGGGGCCCACCGCTCACCGTGCGCTGCGCAAGTACCAGGGCGGCAGCGACCAGCTGCAGTACCTCCTCGACGGCATCGCTGCCGGCACCAAGAGCGCCAAATACAAATACGGATGTGCGTATGGCGGGAATATGGAGAATGCTCGACATGGTGCCGCACGTGTGGTGGTGGGGTCATGTGGCTGTGGTTGTCTTTTGTGCGTGCGTGCGTGCGTGTGTGTGTGTGTGTTTAGCGCCGACTCGGCGGTTTCACTTTCGTACGGCGGTGCCCCAGGTGGTGCCGTACCTGAAGAGCTCCAACCCTTTCTGCCCCGTCACACCCAACAAAACCGGATGGGACCTCTGGACAAAAACACGGTGGGCGGCTGGGTGGGTGTCGCCGCTCACACAGAGGTGCAATATTTCATGTGGATGGTTGCTTTACACTGCAGGCGTGATGAGCCGATGATCCGTGACCATCGTCACGACGCCATCGGCGGGACGGACCCCAACCCCCCCATCATGCCCAAATACAAGTGACGTATCGATGGCCAGAGAACATGATGGATGGATTGATGGACGTGATGGATGGTTTGTCCATGTGTGTGTGAGAGTGTCGTGCTGTCCACTGTATGTCTGCCGGTTGGCTTCATGGGGAGGTGTGTGGCTCGACTTGCCGGACAAGACGTCCACGCTCTTGTCAGGAGAAGTTGGCTGGCGGCACTCCACGCAGACAACCGGTGGAATCAGGGACGGAAGGAACACAGGCAGCCAGACAGACAGACGGATGTGGGCTTTGTGTTATTTAGTCAGTGATGGGATGAGGGGGGGGGGGCTGTACAGTGCTTGGTTGCTGAGAAGGGTGTGTTGTTGTCATGAACGTTTTCCTCGCTCAAGACTGATTGCATCGTCACGGCCTGCGGCTACACTTGCGGAGGCGAGATTCCCTGCTGTCTCGTTCCCAAGTGTAGTCTGTTGCCGTTTCGATGTTGTCAGCTTCTTGTAGCAGGAGGGTATCGCAACATGACATGATATGCAACGCTTTGATGCGATGCGTCTTGTTAACGGGCAGCCCATACGCCGCGGGTCCACGCATCCACCCACCATCACACGAGTCTCATCGTCAGTCGTTGGTCTCCTTGGTCTGTCTGTCTGTCTGCCGTCAGTATCTCTAGCCATGTAGCTAGCAGCGCCTCTTAAACCACACGCACACACACTCACACACAGACACATGGCCGTGTGCTTACAGCAGTCTCGCTCGCAGAGCGCCGCTCTCATCGATCAATCACTAGATCCTTCCCCAAACAGACAGGCATTAGTTGGCACGTCCGTCCTCTTGTGCGTTTCCTCCGCTTTCTCTATGCATCAGAGGGACACGTGAGCATGCCCTCGCTTGCATCAGGAAGCAGAGGCAACGCGCAAAAGAGACCGACAGGCAGGAGGGCGCAAGAAAACAGCGCACATTACATCAGTTGCAGGCAGGTCGGTTGGTGTGTCTGTGTCCCAGCGAGATGTGGTGGATCGTACATGCATCCCTGCAACGAGTGGCGTGTTGCAGGTCGCCACACTGACACACTTGGCCTCTCTGTTGTATCCCTTCACTCTGTGTGTGTATGTGTGTCTGTCTGTCTGTGTGTGTATGTGTGTGTGTGTGTCTGTATGGCCCGTCCAACAGACACCAGCATCGACTAAGAGGCAGCAGGCAGGCAGGCAAGCAGGCCGGCAGGCAGTATGCATCGGGGCAACCAGCTGAAAACCATCATCACGCTGGATCATGCCATGAAATGGATGGATGGATGTGCGTCATTGATGTGGGCAGGGCATGTGTGTGTGTATGTGTGGACATGGTCAAAACTGCCACCAACCGAACCGCGCCGAGTTGACAAGACACTAGACAGACAGAGACAGGCAGACAGACAGAAAACGTCCCTCCCCAGATCGGTCGGCTGATCGCACCACAGGCAGGCATTGCATTCATCCGACCTGAAAGGATGACGTGACGACATTCACTGCATCTCATCCATCTCATCTTTCCTCTGTTGCTGCCTAGAGAGCCTATGCTAGCCTAGCCAGACAGACAGATCCACCACCTCTCTCTCTCTCTTCCTTCTGCTGCTGCATGTCGGTCTGCGCGTGTGCGTTATCTACAAGAAACCATCCCCCCATCCCATCCACCCCATCATTGCAAGACACCAGGTGAGCCAAGTCAAGCTTATCGACAGGCAAGACTAGAACAGCCAGGGAGAGAGAGAGGGAGAGAGGGGGAGGGAGGGAGAGAGGGAGGGAGGGAGGGAGGGAGAGAGGGAGGGAGGCATCACTGCTGGCTGACCGAGTGGAGTGTCCTGTGGTGTGGGTGAGGGTGTGGGTGTGGCGGCTGGGTGAAAAAGAGGCAGCAGGTAGCATCCATCAATCGAGCAATCGACCGAGCACCACACACACACACACACACAGCGTGGCATGGCTTGTGCCGCTCTCTGCGTGTCGGTCGGTTGGTGTGCTAATTACATGGACGGCCACTCACTCACGCAAGCTCACACACTGCACAGGAAGGACGACGGCCGGCCGGAGGCCGCTGTTGTACTGTTAAACCCACACACGCACACACACGCACACACACACAAATGTAGGCAGCCAAAAAGACGACACACGTGACTGTCTGACGGGCAAGAGAGAGACAGAAGATAGTGACTACACATACACACATCCGCACACAGAGTGGAAGAGCGCCTGCCTGCCTGCCTGCCGGTCTGGCTGGCTATCCATGGCTATCCATGGCATGGAGGAATGCACCCGCGCGCTCATTCGATCAGGAACGAGACTTGGTGCAACGCCGCACTGCGCACTCTTCAATTCGGTCGCCCCTCACCCCTTCCCCTCCTCTCCCTCCCTCCCTCATCCATCCATCCATCCAGCCACACGTCCAAGTGGTGAATGTGCTTGTTGGGGAGCCTCCTGCATCTCGCCTGAGTCCTGGCCACTGTCGTCACTGCCCCGTCCACCTGATGAAGAGGCGGGGCAGCAACGTCAATGGCAAGGAAATAGGCGAGATGCGGAAAGCCATCTCTCTTGAGTGTGACGAGGGATGCTCGTGGATGGGGGCACCAGCAAAGAAGCCATCCAAAGCAAAGCCATCCACCGCCCTCCCTTGCCCACGCGCCCGCCCCCTCGCGGTTCGCGGGCCAGCCACCGGTCCACTCGTGCAGACATGCATGTACGCCACATGCATGTCGCAGAAGTACACAAGCAGCAACGAACGAACCGACGAGTGGACGGCAGGCAGCCAACGAAAGAAAAACCCACCGCCGTCCCGTCCCCCTCTCCCTGTCTGCCTGGTTGCACACAGGTGCGTCATCCGGTTGGTACTGCTGCACTCATCCATTCCATTGGATCCGATTTGTCCACCCATCGATTGCAATGCAAGCCCAGTAGAGCTTATTGTCATCCAGCCAGCCATCCGCCAGCCGTCTGCCTGTCTTCAAGAAAGCGATCAGGTCGTTCTCTCGTCCCTTTTCACTCACTCAGTCGACGGTTACGTACTCACGCACATCACTCACATGCCTCTCTCTCCCAGCATGTCGTTCATGTGTATGTGTGTGTGTGTTGGCGGAGAGGTAGGGTAGGGATATATAGTACACACATGTTGCAACACACACACAGACAGACAGACAGCCCCCACCCACACCCACAGCCAGCCAGTCACAGAGAGAGAGAGAGAGAGAGTATTGTTATTATACAGAAGACACCAACACAGGGGCAGGGCGAGAGGGTTAGTATGTATGGGATACAAACGTGACAGTGAGTCCACTGAGCAGACAGAGATTCAGTCCCCCTTTTAGACACACGGAGAGAGAGAGAGAGAGAGATGGAGAGAGAGGATGGTCTCTTGGTTCGCTTGGCAGACAGCCAGACAAGACAATGAGAAGTCGGATGACCGAGTAAGGATGTCTATGCACAGCAAAATCACCCGCACGTCGGTCAAGACCGGCCCTTCGCTTCATTGCCA